AATGTTTTTAATGCGATTTATGGCTCGTGAGTGAAAAGTGATGTTCGAACGGACTTAAAATATGTGTGAGTGTTGCCATATCATAGCTTTTTATGTTTGTATGCTCACGTAATTTGCAGTAATCATATTAAAACCGTTTGTTGTGGTCAGTGAACAGTTATCAAAATTTAAATTCAATTTCAAGTAGTAAACAATTAAATGTATTAACTGACCCAAATCACTGCCAATAAAATCACAAACAATTAAATTATATTATCTAATTAAAAATGTGAAAATTTCTACTTGCTTTACTCTCACAGTAGCGGTGAAGATGCTGAGTATATATCACATATCCCTGAAAACGATTTGCACATATCTCCGAAATGTCAAAATACCATATAAGCTTCTGCTCTATCTGGTATCGTCATTAGACGAAAGTTTTGTTCTTTCTCTTCTATATGTACGTTCATCTCTCTCATGGTCATCGCACATGATCGGCATATTCTTTTAACATTTTAGAATGTCTGATAGATTAAAAATTATTTTTCTCAAACTTGAGCCCAAATTTTTTTCATAATGTAGCAGTCGTCAGAGTCTAAGTATCTGTGAGAGAGCGTCACTAGAATTAACTCCATAGTTCTTGTACTCATATCTAACCTTTCAAACACACTTTTATACATTTTATACCTCTCGAACCCAAGTTTTGTGGATTTAATTTGTTACAAACAAAGTCAAGTCCACAAAATGTGTTTGCATGCCCGTCAAATGAAAACTATCGGAATAATTGACACTCTAGATATAGTAAAGGAATGTTTAGGACATAATTTTCATGAAAGTTTTGGAATCGGTAAATCTCTGCTCCAAGTGGGAGTCGCAAAAATTCAGATTAGATAGATCTACCGAGCCAAAAATCAATGACAGTAAGGATTAAATTGCATAAAATGACCTTCAACTTGTTACTCATCCACAATAATCTCCGGATTCAGTCCAAAGCGAGTGCTTCCTGTTCTTAGAACTCAACAAAAAGCTCGTTGAAAATCCAAATTATATATGTGGAAAAAAAAATCATTAATTACATCTACTTATTCCTTAATCTACAAGTATTCTCTAGATACCGTGAAAATATCGTCCAAAAGGACGAAAAACCAGAAAAAATATTAAATTCGGCTGCACCGATGCTATAATAACCTTCACAGGTGCTACGATATCTTCTAGTGAACCGTATCCTCTCTCGGACGCTTACTTTTGGAATGAATATTTGGATGTTTAATGCATTTGATCAAATTATTGCTTAACTTATTCTTGTGGGGTTTTTAACAATGTATAAAAAGGTCTTATATCAAGATTTTGTTAACTCGACTAGTTCAATAGTTGTTCGAGGTCAAATTTCAATCTTAAATCGTAAAATATAATTTTTACAATTTTCAATATTTTATTTACAAAATAATGCCTCAAAATCATAAAGTCTCTCATTTTTTATGGCTTGTCTTATTTTAATTCGATCAATTATTACATATTTCTTCTTTAGCACGATTGAATAGTGCACTTTATTGGAACATTTTATAGTGGTTTTAGGTACTAATAAAAAAATATTAGAAATTTTTATTATGTTATCCAATTTAAGATTATATATATATGTATTTTCCAAATTATCTTCTGACCAATTACCCGCACTTGCTGATTCGGTTATTTTACTGCACTAGCGAACATTAGCAACATCCCTAATGGCTGTGTGAATGCACCCCTACATACATCAGCTGATGTAGGTAAACAAATAAGATGCAGTGAAGTGGCAAAATTTTAAATTAAACTTGTGTTAAATTTAATTAAAAGGCATTAAGTGTTAAATTTGCTGCAATAATCAATAATTTTACTGTGTCCTATTAATATGTTTGTAATTTTTGATATTTGTTCGTCGAGTGTGTCTGTATTTCATCCTAATTAGTGCTATTGAGCACTCCCGCCAGCTAATAAGGTATGCGCATAGCTTTCAATATTATAATATTAATATTATAAGTTTAAAATTATAAAAAAAACCCGCTTTCAATAGTATTACACAAAGATATAAATGCAATAAATCAGCTCTTAAAAAAAATACAAAAAAAAAAAAAACAGGTGGCACAAAAAAAATAAAATGTTCTGAAATTGAAGTGTGGACACACAATATGTACATACCAAAAGCAATTCGTTTAAAACACAATTGTAAAATATGGCTAAAGATTTACCAAATATTATTGCAATTAGTCAATGTCGGCGAAAAAGTAGCACAGAGCCATATTACTCAACCAATATTCCCCACATACAGTCCACACCCAGCCGCCTTCTCTCACACGGCATTAAACGCTCCGCAACTGCTTGGTTGCATTGCTGTCCTCTTTCATGGAATCGCCAATAAAATGATTAATATCGCTTGCTTTTGCAATTAAAAATGTAAAGTTACATAAGTTAAATTAAAAATTAAATTAAAATTAACTGCACAACAATGTTTACAAAATGTTAAACATGGTGTGCGACTGATATCTGGGTGACACCAAAAGTCCAATAAACAAGAAAATCCAACAAACATATTTGTGTATATTGCGCGTAGAATCGTTGCAGTGCTTACATACCTACATTCCTACATTACATCGCTTGTGGAAAAATGGAACTGAAAATCATAAAACTCATTTATAAAGCTTCAAGAAACACAAATGTAGGACATTTAGCAATAATATTGACGCATATAATTTTACATAGCATCAACTACATACATGACTTGTTTATGCCAGCGTGTCCTTGAGGTAGTCCCATTGGGTTTATTCAATTCTGTTTGTAGATATTTTTGGATAACAAGCAACAATAAAATAGTGTGCTATCCTTGACATGGTAAGATGAACCAATGACTTGGTCTCTATTTTAAGAAGAACATACAGCGTGTTATTCTATAAAGTGATTTTATGTCACACCTAGTGAAACTCTATCGGCAGAGTATACAGTTTGAAAATGCTTTTTATCTTCTTGCTTGTAGATTATGTTTCTTTATATAAGCGAATGACAAATTAATGCATAATTACTATTAAATTCCTCCGGAGGTTTAATAACATGGACATGTGTGTGATCTTTGGGAATTAAAAAAAAAGAGTTTCTCTATCAATTATTTTGAATTTTAAGGGTATTCCTTTTCGAATTTCAACAGCGTTAAAAACGTCCTCCATTGCTGCAGTAATTCCAGCCTCCTCCATTAACATTATAACGTCAGTTACTTAAACGATCAGTGTGACGTGCTGAATCGATTTAGAAATAGCCGTTTGTTTGTATATACGCGAACTAGTTTCTCAGTTTTTGAGATATCAATCTGAAAATTTGCTCACATATTTTTCTCCCCAAGAAGCTGCTTATTTTTCGGAACCGCCGCAATCGGACGCCTAAAGTATATAGTTGCCATACAAACAGACCGATCAAACTCAAGTCCGTGGATGGAAATTTTTTTATTTGATAAGATATCCTCACGAAATTTGGCATCGATTATTACTAAAAGCATCCCTACAATCTCGAAAGAAGTTATTCACATTGGATAACTAAAGCATATAGCTGTTATACAACTGAGCGCTTAAATATATTTTTATTCACTTTTATGCTATAAAAATTGCACCTGGGTATTATAACTTCGGTGCAGCCGAAGTTAACATTTTTGCTTTTTTTTTAATTTAATTTCTAAAATAATATTATTACTTAAAATAATAATAATAATAAATGCATTTTTCGTTATTTGACTTTCTGATTAAATATTTAATGGTTTTTGTCTGGCACCCAGTTTACTCTGTTGCAAATTGCTACAATTTAATAACTTGTTTGTACTGTATTCTCTGAATTTAGCCTATTTCTTTCATATCTGTCAAAATATGTAGGTGTTCCTTTAAAATTTTGACAGACTTGTTGGTGTGTTAATTTTCCACGCTTCGTTGATTTCAATTAAGACTTCCAAGAAAAATTACAGACATACAAACAGACGCTTAAACGGATGAGAGAGCAACTGGTAAATATAAAATTTTGCGAGTTTCCATTAATAATATACATAATGTTCATTAGCATAAATATGTCCATGCTCAGTATATTTGGTTGTTATTGCTTGACTTTTGTTGATGATAATAATAATAAAAATATTAAGGACATTCGGTTAAAACCTTGTCGTTGTAGCATTATAATGATTTAAAACTTTTGTGTTGCTGTTTTGTAAAAAAAAAACGCTGACCGGTTTTGATTCCACAATTTCACACTGTTTTACTGCGTAGGTACTACGTTTGAAGAAGATTATTTTTGGTAAGATTAGCTGTGATAATACTGATGTTGGCTAGAGCGATTAAAGTGTCAGTACCTCGTTTACATAAAGGGTGTTTTTTGGTTTTCGTAATGGGTTGTATTAAAACAGTGTTTAAACGTTGAAAAATGTATTTCCAAACTTAGCGATGTTTATGAAAACGGAGCAGTTGTGTTTTAACGGGGAAGGAAAAAAGTAAATAATCATTTATATACAATTCTAAAGAGACTCTTCATCTCATGCGTGCTTGCGCCCATTTTATAGTGACTTATTCATCCTCCGTCTTATTTTTTAACTGTGTACGGACTGAATAGTTCCAGCAGGAAGGTGACATCCAATACATGAAGCTTAGTAACCAGTTGGAAAACAACATTTGAGTCGACTATGCAAGCAAAATTTTTACTAAATTGAACATTGTTTTCATTCGTGCGTAACTCTAGCGAAACATATCCAATTAGCATAACTTAAAGATTTTCCTTTCTGTATTATTTAACATAAAAGTTCTACAACTCCAAATATACAACCTAAATCGGCTACCAAAACGGGTTTGTTTCGAAACTCTGTTTTGCGGCTGCACTGGTCGACTTTAAACTACCTTCTCAGATATTTTTGTCAGGTAATGATTTTTTTCTGACTTGCAAGTAAATATAACCTCTTAAGTCGCTTAAAACTTTGTGTATTATATTGATTTCTAGTAAAATTCAGAGTATTTTCCTTTACCTACATTTTATTGTAATTTGTAGCTTCCGACTCACGTTCGGACATTCTTATTTATAAATGTACATTCAATTTGTATATTCTAGTGCAGATGCCGAAGAAAGATAATATAACAAACATTAAAGGAAAAATAATTTACAGACGATCTGTGCTCGGGAAGGAAGAAGAGGGGCGTGATTGAATTTTTAAGGCTTAGAAACGGTTTATCTCGACTTTCGACAAAATTACGAGTCTTATAGATAAACGTTATATGGCAATGTTGTAGGTAATGAAAGTTTTGCATATAACTTTTTTTTCACATAACCTTCAAAGTTATGTGAAAATTCCAAGTTACTAAGTTTTTGGGTTTTTTATTTTTATCTTGTACAAAAAAAAATGTTTCCTTCATGACATTTGCTGCACACTTACCTTCTTACGTTCGTAAATTATTTTTCTCTTAATGTTTATTATTTTCGAAGGGTTTCAATCTACTATGAATTTCTGTGTTTTCAAAAATTATCTACCCTGGCTATTAGTAGTAGTGTTTTTAATTTCCAGTGTCAAAAAAATTAATGGCGTTACAAGAATAATCGCAAGTAAATCAATTTAATGGAATTGTCTAGCATATTAGATCCATATGCTAGACAAACCTTCTGTAATTCGTGGAAGTTATTTCCCACAAACATTTTACAACTACATGAAATACTTGACTGACAGTCCAATGACAGTAACAAAGTAATTGCAAAGGAATGAAAACAAGAAAAGAAGTTAAAGTAAGTTATGTTTGTTTGTATGTAAAGATATCACAGCTGAAAACTAAGAAATACTGAATAATACTTGAATTAAAGACAACAAAGGAGTGTAGTGATGAGTATTTACATACATATATACATGTGTGTAGGTATCTGTTAACAGTAAATTATGCGCAGCACTGAATTAAGTGGCGGCCAAATAAAAGAAACACGAAACAATAAAAGCGCTCATTAAAAATTCACCAAGAAAAATTTCTTGCGAAGCAATTGGTAAACACGTAAGCAAATAAACTTGCTGTAATTGTTATCGAATTCGTAGACAGCGGAGTATGACAAGAAACAAGAGAAAACATAAACTTCGACTGCACCGAAGCTATAATACCCTTCACAAATACAAAATTTTCCATACAAGAACTTGATTTTGATCAGCTAGCTTGTATGTCAACTATATGTTGTTGAAATCTTATCTGAACAATTTGTTCGAAGATTGTAGCGTTGCTTTGTACAATAATCCATGCCATACGAGGACTGGAGGACTGACTAATCAGTTTATATGGCAACTATATTTTACGGTGGTCCGAAGGTGGCGGTTCCGACAATTGAGTAGCCTTGTATGGAGAACAGAGCATGTGCAAAACTTCACATCGATATCTTAAAAGTTGAGTAGGCATATGCACAGCCAGAGAGACGAACAGACAGACATGTTCAGTGTATGATAAAATTTTCTTAAAGAAAAGCGAAAACAAGAAAATCACCAAAAAAATTAAAATTAACAAGTAAATAAATTAAAAATAATTTCACAAACGAAGAGCCAACAAATTGAGGGCAACGAAAACATGCTGTGACACTTGGTCTCGCCTCGTGTTCAGCCATTTGTTTACCGGCTGGCGGTGCTGTCGTTGTGGCAGCTGCGTGCGCCAACAATAACCAAACTAAGTACAATACAACCACATATCAATTAACGCTTTTGAGCGACTGGCAATTGTTGCGGCACAATTGGTTGCTAATGTCAACTGCCAGTTGGCAGGCGGCAGTTAACAATCAACAGTACTGCTATGCTGCCTCCAAGGCATTCCAGCCTGATGAAAGGCGCTGCAGAATGCGCCAAGCAGAACAGAGAAAACACGGAACAGTTGTGCTGAAAGGGTGCGCCAAATTGCTCCCTTTAACTGTCATGTTCTACTCACGCTATGTGGCATATATGCACACACGCACGTACACATGTATATATGCACATGCGCGCATAAAGTGTGTATTTTGCACTCTCAGTTGGCCATTTCACCGCAAAATGCTATTGGGAATTGTATTTAATGCTGACAGTATTCTCCATACAATTTTCGCCAATAACAGTTTCCTCAGTCGTTTGCCACAGCAACAAGTTACTTGTGCACACATATGTATGTGTCCTCAGTTGTATATACATATGTATGTATATATATTTCCGCAGTGTGCCCTCGGCGTTGTGGTCAATTTCCTGTGTGATTTTATGCTTTTAATACAAAATAAGTCGGAGTAGAAGAGATCATGTGAATTGACGTTATCTAAAAACGTAATCTAAACTAATTCCCCAGCTAGCTTTAAAGTCTCAAAGCTGTTGTGAAATAGCTAAAGCTTAAAATTGCACTATGGATCCAAGAAATAATATAACAAAGCAAACAAGTGCTATAAAATTGTGAATGGCCAAGTCGGTAAAGAAAATTACTCCGAAACGGCTACACTGATCGACTTAACATTGTCACAGTATCTTCAGAGATATTTGTCGAGTAATAATTGAAGGAATACAATTTTTGATAATAATTTAGATTTTTTAAGCCACTACTTATTGTGCGAAAAAAATTGGAAGATATAAGCTTTTGTTACAGTATCTCTTAATCATACCTTTCAATACTAGCTTTACCACTGTAGACTATTTTTATTTATTTGTGGCTAAAATAAGATCCACTCGAAACTAAACTAATTTAATTTGACAATCCAATGGAGTTTATTACTAATTATAACTGTAATGTAGCCAAGTACATGCCTAGTATGCAGTGATGCGCCGGTACAGTTTCTCTTTAAGTAAAATGGAACTCTTCTCTTCTGTTTCTTAAAATTAGATTTATTTTCGAATTACGTTGTTAAAACCATGTGCTCTGACTACCAGACGATCAGTTATAAATTTATTTTAACGAACTGATTAGAATTACGTTTTATACCCTGGGGTGAATCTTTTGTTTTTGGGGACTGAAATCAGTAATAGGGAGACATCGACAAGCTTTTCTTTTGTGCCGCTGCTGATAATTCCTTATGCAAGAAGTTACTTATTTATCTCACAAATCTGGTAAGTTGACTTGATTTAGAAGTCGTGTAGTCAAGCTCTGATAACTCTTTTGCTAACATTATAATTACACCCAGAACAGTGTATATTAAGTTTGCCACGATGTTTGTAGCATTCAGAAAGATACGTCGCAGACCCTATAAAATATATACACTTTTACAATATTGTTGTCGTTAACAGAGACGGAGAGATATCTTGCATAAGAGAACTTTTCTACAATCTCGTCACCACCTCCTGTGTGTCAAACAAGATATTGTACTAAAAAAATTAGAAAAACTAAATTGATCAATATTGTCTGCTTACTATTTAAATATATAATACAATTACAGCAATAATTATAATCTCACACCTAAAAACAAACAAGCTCTTTCCACAAACATTTTACCATTTAAGGCCAGCATACCAAAAGAAGCATACAATGTCAGCAAAAATTAATCCAAATTGAATACTTTTAATGGCAATGTTTATTTTAATTATTTAAATAGACTAATATTGTTAAATACTAACATCCTATTTGCTTTGACTTGTTTATCTATGAATTATGTGTAAATGCTTGCGTTTCCACAAAATTCTGTTGCAACTATTTGTTAGCTTGACCTTACAATCAACCAGTGCAGTTTCAATAAACCGCTAATTTGTAGAAATGAAAATTATAAACCACATGTTGTTTGACAACACAGAAGTCTTTTTATTGAGCTCGTTGCCATGGGCAAGGACTTAAGCAAAGCAAATATTATATAAATTGTTTTTTTATTTTGAAAGCAAGTTCTAGTTTATGTGTGAGCATATTCCTATAATATTTGGATTTTTCAAATGTGCTTGTAATAAATATTTAATGTTATTAAGTATTAAGCTTACAGCATTATTTATTTAAATTGAAACGGCAAGCCGCACGAAAGCGGAAGTCGCCGAGAAGAATGGGTGTGTAGGAGAAAAACGCCTTTTTGGACGGTTCATAGCCTAGTGGGGAAAGAATTTTAATACTTCGTTGACAAAATTACTTTTTAATATTACATATATAATTTATATATTTTTATATGCACGTTTGTATGTGTGAGTAGTCGGTCATGCTCATTGCTTACATTCAGCAAATCGTTTTATTTATTTATTTTTGTACAATAAAAAATTGCGCGAAATTTCCACTTACCTAAATATAAATTTGCACCCACATGAGAATGTATATGCATACATATACATTTGACATATGTCACCATGCAAAAATAACCGAAAATAAGATATTAAGCGCCTTTGACCACATTAATTCAATTTGTAGAAGTGAAAAAATAAATAAATATTTCGTTAAACACAATAAAATTCGAACAAATGTATACTTATAAGTAACTTTACAAAAGATAAGCATAACAAAATCTTGAATGCGCCTACTATACATAAATATATATAAATATAAGGGTGAGTAAAAAAAATCGTTTATTTTTTTCACTTTATACGCTGAAAATTGAAAAATAAATTCTATCCAAGTATGAGTTCTTTATATCAATAGAAAGGTCGCAAACCCTATAATATATGTATACATGTTCAGCATGATGAGCTGAGTCGATTTAGTCATGTCCGTCTGTCTATGCATCTGTCTGCATATAAGCAAACTAGTTTCTTAGTTTTGGAGATATGGATTTGAAATTTTGCACACATTCGTTTCTCTCCAAGAAGCTGCTCATATGTCTGAAACGTCGATATTGGACTACAATAGCATATAGCTGCCATACAAACTGACCGATCAAAATCAATTTCTTGTATGAAAAACTTTTCTATCTGACAAAAGATCTACAGAAAATTAGATTAGATTAATAAAGAAATTGTTGATATCAGAGTGCTATAGCATATAGCTACCATAAAAACTGATCGATCACAATTTAGTTCTTGTATGATTTGACGAGATATCTTTACGAAATTTGGCATGGATTACTGCCTAGATTAACGGCAGTCTTCTTATAATCTTCAAAGAAATTGTTCAGATCGGTCTACTATAGCATATAGCTACC